ATTTTTGGTCGAACTTTTTATTTTTTTAACTGTTATTCTCCCAAACATTACAAAATTTTGAAATTTTGCATACATATTCTTGAGAACTTTAGTCACAATTTGATGAAATTTTTTTGTGTTTTATTATGTACATTTTTGCGTGATTAATTGTTTTGTGGTGACCGAAACTTTTGTCCAGGGAGTGTGTATATGGCCCCGAATGGCCAGCAATTTGACTCAATTTTTTGGCTTCCACTAATTACACTGTCGGTGGAAGAGACAGACTTAATGAAGCACATAGATAAAAAAATGGATGCATGTTTTTTTTTAATTAGTTATTTTTGATTTTTTTTTTTTTTTTTGACAAAAGAATATTATTAACATTTCCTTCATTTTATATTCATTTTTATTACTCGAATTTAGAAGGCATTCTTAAACTAAAGCTTAATTCTATTTTAAGAAATTTATTTTTATAAATTAATTAAAATGTTGAAACATTTATAAATCAAAGGGATGGAAGGGATGTAATTCATCATAGTTTAAGCTTTTTTTTATTGGTCCGACATCTTTTCTTTTCTTTTATTATAAATAGAACTTCACATCCGTTTAAAAAATTTTTTGAACTTAATATTAACTTAACGTTAACTTTAACTCTGTATATATACACAACGCAATCATTTTCGTAACACGAAATTTCCTTTTTTAAACAAATTCTATATGAAAAAAATGATCGAAAATTAAATTCATCATATTCTTTCTTTAATAAAAAAAGTTCATAACTTAAAAAACAAAAAAATGGAATATAATAATGAAAAGTATCTATGGATACCTTATGATAATTTGAAAAGGTAGATGAAAGTGGTTTTTGAAATAGTGTACAAACTAACAAAAGATATTAAAATATACATGATTTATTAAATATATATGTACAAGTGGTAAACCTATACAATGGCATCTGATATACAGTTTGGAATCTTGATACCATTAATGTCAGTGAGTCAACAACCTTTCAATAACATTCCACATAATAAAGATCTTGCAATTAAGATTTGTGAAGGCATAGGACCAGGATTTTCCAAATTTTATATTGAACTAGCATACCAATGTATGGACACATACTCATCCAGATAAACATCCAATTGATTATAGGAACAGCACATTTTATTATATAATTGTAGATATCCTAGAAGAGAGCCTGATGGATAAGAGAAATATTCAACGAGATGGATGGAATCATTCATACAAATTCTCTTTCCTCTAGCAGTTTATTATGATTCATAAACTTTTGTCAAGCCACAATTGTTGATAATCAAATGATAATTAATTATTAATCCAAGTTTAATAACAATACAATATTAGCTTTATATAATATTAATATAACGAAAAAACATAAAAGTGTTAGTAATAAATCAAACAATCTATTGATGGCCAAAATCCACGGTTCGTATTAATATATTAAATAAAAATTATTAACCAATTGTCTCATTAAAGTTAATCTTTGCATAATTGTCACGCTATATAATATAAGAAACATACATATCCATAAATATTCAATAAATGGATTAGCGTTCAATCTATTTCAATGTTAAGAATAATAATGCCTCGCCTCATATATAAATAATGTAAATGTATCCTGAACAGATTTTTTTTTGCTCGCATTATATATATTATTTACATTTACCATTTCACTAATTGTAAATAACCCATCTTACTATTATTTAGTGATAATTTGGTTAATGCTATAAGAGCCGCCAATATCATTTCATTGCTATGTCACTAATTAATTCCTCCAGCTCATTATGCAAATAGAAGCAACATCAAACACCACCACTTCTAAGATTGGCTGCTAGTCCTGCCAAACCACACAAATCACCCATATTTTTTAGTTTTTAAAGTGGAAAAGTTCTTTGGCAAATTCAACGCTACAGCCTAACAAACATGTATATTATTACTATCTTTCTTAACTGTTTCCCAATTCTCACGAACGTATTTAATATTCAATCCAATGACCACAATTGGCTTAGAAATATCAGCCTCAATATAAATAGAGAATGATGTAACATACTAGTGTATAAGAAGCAATTAAAACATTTATAAAGTTACATTATTGATAGGAACAGCGCTTGCTTGTTTCATTTGACATCCATCATCAAACATTCTTTTGAAAGATAAGATTAATTTTGAAGCACTTAAAGATGATTCATTGTCGAACTAAAAACGATAACGCTACAACGAATGGTGATGACAAATTTGGATATAATTCTACTCTAGTTAAAATATTAGTTGTTGAAATGTCATTGTTTGAAAATAAATTATCGGTTTGCATGTAACTATGCAATGAATGGAATTTGGATAACAGATAAGGGAACCAAAAAAAAAAAGAAAAAAATATTCTATAATTTGTGAAGCAAGCTTTTAATTACTCACTCTCCTACTCTGGAAGGATAGGCTCGTTAGCAATTTAATATGATAAATTAGTAGAGTGCAAGTTGCGATTTACCTCGCCGATGAACTTTATGCCTTTTCCGAAGAATATGACCGGGATCTGGATCGAGGTATGCTTCCTATTCTTCAAAGATGAAAAAATAATAACAAAGCAAAGGTATAGGTAGGTATATATTGAACTGGATTGTGTCCGCCTGCGGGTAGATATATATATATATATTAATATATACATATACGTGTGTGACATTTAATTTGTATGTGATAAATTAATTTTTGGACATGATTATGATGACTAATGTTCACCCTGCAGCGTAGATATATTAATATATATATATATGCGTGCTTGACATTGTTGTAATTGGTATATTGATAAATAAATTAATTTGTGCGTGATCGCCTTGAAATAAAGAATACTTTACTTCATTCAACATCCAACTGTGGCGGTGTTGGATGTTAGTTACCCTGAATCTTTAAATGATCCAAGGAGTTCGCGAAATTTATTTCACCAGAAAGTTTTTCCCACCATGATATTTGCATAAAAATTATGTAATGTTTACATTTAATGTGATAATCACATAATTTTTGAGTGACTTTTGGTTAATATCATGAGGCCCGACATAAACTTATGTATGTAGTGTAATAATTACGTAAATTAGTGTCAGAAAAATTTCAGCATGCGAGAAATATACGTTTAAGGCAAATCTCAAACCCGGATGCTGCAGCATAGCTCAGGAAAGTCTATAAATAAGATTCAATCAGTGAAAAATCATCAATTAATGAGAAAAGAAAGAGAAATTCGAAGAGCCATATGCACTAAGGACTATTTGCATTTCTAACCCAAAAATTATTTTATTATCAATTTTTATACAATATAATAGAGAGGATTAAAAAGACAAGCGAAATAAACTTGCAGTATCACATTATTACAATACGTTGCAGTTATGCCACATAGTTTAGGTAGATAATTCAATCTAGCGCAGTCAATCGATACAAGTTGACTTTGATGTGTAATCTGAGTTCAGATCTCCGTTTGATACCAGGTAAAATTTCTCATCAACACTTTATTTAAATGAATAATACAAATCTATATATAATATGATTTTGTTATAATTTAAAAAGTAAAACCGCAATTCAAATACGCCCTAAAAACCCATAAATACTTCACATTTAACCACGGTGGTAATAGATTCTAACTCTGATTCCTTACTTCCTATATAATATTCGAATGTCTATAATGCAGTTATATTTGCTCTTTCTGATATTTCATCAAGAGGATTAGATAAATTTAATTTGTGAATGTCGTGAATTATGATGATAGTTCAATATTTCGTAATAATAATAATGATAGTTAAAGATCGGTTACAAACATTCTTTACAAACAAATATGCATTTTTGGAAGCAGAATTTCCTTCATTATTTATTTTAATTTTTTTTTATAAAAGGAGAGAATAATATTCTCCAAGCTCGTCGATATTATTCAATTTATTGAAAGCCGAGTCCTCCCAGGCAAGTATAATGGGGCTCGTTTACAATTTAGAATTGATGAATTTGACCATGACTCCATGTCCCTCCCGTGCTTTCCTTCTGGAGATAGAGTTAAAGCGTGTAATTTTTAAATAATAAACAGATATTCAACATCCAACTACGTTGAATGCTATTGTCGAACGACCCTGAAACATGATGTGTGTTCGATCATTTTATTTAAGGGTAGAGTGTAGTCATGTGATTTTATATAATGATCGGTGAGGATAAATAATTCCCGAACCTCTTTTAAATCACTTGCCTCATACGCAGCTACACCAAAAACTAGTTTTCGTGAGACGAAAATTAACACAAAATCCATTTTCAACATATATCCAATCGTAATAAAAAATTTTTTTATGTTTGTTAGAGGGTTATTTCAAAAAAACCTTGTAAAGTTAAAGACAATTTGCGGATACCTTAGTAAACATAGTAATATATTAATATAGTAATTTTCTATATTGACCTGAACTATGTTTGATGATCATTGTGACCAACCCCAATATGTTATGTTGATTTGTTTTTTAAAAAATAATTTAATATTAATATTAACCGATTTCTTTTAAAAAAATGAATTCGAGTAAGCAGCAAAAAAAGAAACAGACAAAATGATCGAGATGAGAGAGAGTAAGTGTTTATCATAAGAATGCCACTTGTCATCAATTCATCAATTGTTTCCCATCCATCCTTGGTTAGTTTCATGATTGGCACCATGCACATTTGACATGTGATACATGCAAAAACTTACGTGTAATAGTAAATGGGAGAATCTTTGAATTTTTTCGTGTTATTTTTTAAAAAAGTTCATACATCAATAAAAAAATAAAAAATGATTTATTCACTTGATAGCAAAACAATTAGAACAATTTCTAGCGGACAAGTTATCACAAAAGTTGAAGATGTTGTAAAAGAACTAATAGAGTAAGTATAATAATGATAATTATCTAAATAATATATATATATATATATATATATATGAAGTAATGTTTTTTTTTTCAAGGAATTCAATTGATGCACAAGCTACCTCTATAGAGGTTAAAATAGTTGAAGATGGATTAAATTTAATTACTGTATGTTTTGTATGTTTTGATGTTTTTTATTTCTTTGATCAGCGCAAAATTATTCACAATTTAATTATACAATGATAATAATGAAAAGGTCAAAGATGATGGAATTGGAATTCCTCAAGATGATAGAAAATCAATGGCTTTAAGATATCATACTTCAAAATTAGAAAATTATGACGCGTTGAGTAAAGTTGAGACATATGGATTCAGAGGTTTTTTCCCACGCATATTCGATTCAAAAAAATTATTTTTTGTGAAATAAAAATCGCTTTATTTATTATTTTGTGGAATATGATAGGTGAAACATTAAATTCAATATGTGCGATATCTGAATCTGTTGAAATAATCACCAAAACTGGCAAAGATCCTGTAGCTATTCTTTATACATTAGATAAAACAGGAAATATTATAAGGTAACATTTTTTATTTATTTGTGTAAATACTTGTTAATCTAATAAGGAAAAATTAGAAATAATCAATCAACAATAGTTCAAAGTCATCTGGATTATCTCCAGGAACTACAATTAATGTAAATAAATTATTTGCCAATATACCAGTTCGTAGACAGGTATGGTAGATAAAATCCTTTAGTCACGCACACAAAAGAAATCAAGTATATTTAATTTTTTTATTTTTATTTTTTTTTAGGCATTAAAGAATAATTCAACAGTAATTGGAAAACATATCCAAAATATATTAACAACATATGCTTTGGTACATCCTAGCATACGATTTTGTTTAAAACAAAGTTATGAAAATGTAGCAAAATCCAAATTCAAAGATGGGAATTGGATCAAACCATCGTTAGAAACAGCGATGGCATCAATAGGACAAATTTATGGTCATGAATTAATGAATCAGCTTCAATATGTTTTGTGGGATTCTCAAAAAGATAAACACTACAATAAATCAAATTTAACAAAACAAGATGAAAATTACAATAATAACAATGATAATGATAAAAGTGATAATAGTGATAATGAAGAAGACAGGTTACCAATTGTGATTGAAGCAATATTACCAAAAATTGATGCGAGTAAATATTACTTTATAATATTTTAATAATATTATTTGGTAAAAAAATAAAAATAATGGCGGGGAGGATCTCCTAATCATTAATTTATAATTTATTTATTATGCTTTGTTATCAGAGCCATCGATGGTTATGAAAGCTGGAAGAACGTTTATCTATGTTAACAATCGTCCTATTACTACTGCTAAAGGAGAAATCAAAAATGTTTTTCACATTGTAAAAAAAATGTATAATGAAATTTTAACTATACATGGCCATAATAATAATGGTAATCAAAATATAATTTGAAAAACGAGTGACTTAATATATAATATAAAATATATAATCATATTAACTATGAAATTATTTGTTTTTTTGCAAGTAAATAACAAAAAATCACCTTTTATGTGGATAAACGTTAAGATGCCTACTTGGATTTATGATGGTATATTTTTCATAAATTTCATAAATATCGTGCATTGCATATTATAATTTTTAAATTTTATTTTAGTTAATGTTGAACCAAGCAAAAATCTTCTACTTTTTCATCATAATGGATGTGTTGAGCGAGCAATTGAAAATGTGATGATAAAATTATATGGTATCAATAGTGCAAAAATTATCGAACAACAACTACAACAAATTATGGAAGTTGACGTTGATGTCAATAATCTTGATAATAACATTAATAATAATAATTCTAATAATGATGACATTGGTATTGGCGATGATAATAATAGGTATGTTATTAATATATTATTTTCAACCATATATTTATTTCTATTTATTTATTAAGAGCAACTTATTTCTTTAAATACAGATCAGAAAGATTATCAGATTCACAAAAGGATTTATTATCAACATCATCATCTAATATTTCAATTGACGAATCATTTACTGATATGAGTTTATCTTTACAACAACGTCAACAACATCAACAGCGACATTTAATATCGCCAAATTCAGATTCAACTTCGACTAGTAATGAAAACTCAGGTCCTGATAATAATCACGACAATATTGAATCTATTCAGACAACTGAAATTGGAAAACGTAAAATCTCATCATCAGAAACCATTCCTGACGATGATAATGAAGAAACATCTTCGACTATTGATCCTGGTAATATAGTTGAAAATCACAATTATTCTACAAATTCCAACATAAATTCTCATCCAACAACATCATCAATAATATCATCTTCAACATCTTCAACGGTGCCAGCATCTAGATTTTTCAAAGATTATAACAAAGCTATTAACAACAAGAATAATAATAATGGATCAACTACTAATAATAATCATAACCATATTCATAACGAAATACGCAATAAACGACAAAGACTTAATAATTCAAATAGAAAAGGTACTGATGATAGATGTGATTTAAATGGATTTTTGGAAGTTTCTGCTATAATGAATAAGATTAACAATGATAGTAATGATGATAACAATCTGTATAAATCTAGTATAGCAAATACAACAAATGTAGAAAATAATGATGATAATGGTAATGTCCTATTAATAAAAGAGAATTCACGTGGTGGTGGCAGTGGTGTTGTTATGCTGCAACCTAAAATCGATGAACTCTTTAATCATGATTCTAATAACAACGATGATGATGATGGTGATGACAATAATACTAACAGTACTAGTAGTATTAATAGTAGTATTAATAGTAGTAGTAATAATAATAGCAACAGTAATAAATCAAAAAATCCAAAAGGTTCACAAAGAGCACAGCAGCCACAGCAATTACAACAACATCAACAACTCCTTAAAAAGAAATTATTGCAAGATATTAGAAAAGCCAATGAAAATATCAACACGTTTAGTCGTGAATTGAAAATTAAATTTGATAAAAAATCAATTTGTCATCCCAATCATGATGATAACTATGATGATAGTTATGATAATTGCGGTAGTGGATTAAGTTTATCATCGTTAAATAAGATGGAGGATGGATTATGGACTATCACAAGGAAACTAAATGACAAAGTTATAGATTTATTGATAGTTCACGGAGAAAGGTATGTTAATTAATTCATTAAGTGATGAAGATAATATCTTTTTTGGTAAATTACTGAAAGAATTCTTCTTTTTGCAGAATACGTCAATTAGTTACCTTGCAAACGTTAGTGAATTCAACTGAATTGAATCCAACCAAAAAATTATTGAATCCAATTGACATAAAAGAACCCGAGTAAATATAAAGTTTTATTCTAATATTTATATTCATAACATATGATTAATATCAATGCTATTTCATTCTCTCTGTACTTTATAATAATGACAGACTTTTGGAATCAGATAAGATTATATCATGTTTAAAGTATCTTAAACATCAACAAATTCCAGATGAGAGTGGAGTAGGAGTTTGGTGGAATCTAGTTACACAGAAATGTGTTACTGCAAATGGAATTAAGTTTAGATGGAGAGAAGATCGTACGTAAGAGAAGAGAATAAAATGGAATAGATATATTTTTAAGTAGGCATTAAATAAATAACAATGATTATTATTAATTTATTTCCTTCCTTCTTCTATTCACGTAGATGAAAATAATATGCATATACAAATTACACACATATCACCATTGATTCAATTTGCTACAGCAGTAGAATATTTTACGCATCTTATGGAACATCTTTCCACATTAAACATTGATATTGATACAACAAATACTGCAACAAATACGATGGCATTATCAAACACAAGATCTCAACAGACTATACAGATACTTGTACGAGAAGCTAAACAATTAATCAAACAAGAAGATTTAGTTATTAGTAAAAGAGATGAGGAAATGACACAAAGAGTAAAAGATGCCACATTATTATTAATGAAAAAAATTGGAAATTTTCATCACATTTACGACGACGACGAAGGTGGTGATCATTACATTGATGAAGGATCATTGGCGATAGTAGAAAGAAGAAACGATGATAGCGAGATAATGTATAATGGAAATGTTGTTGTAAAAGTGTTATGGAAAGTAGTAGATTAAGAATTTTTTATAAATAAAAAAAAACACTTGAGGGATTTGCAGTTGGTTTATAATTTATTAATTGATAAGTCACTCATATTTGCATTGATAAATGTATTTATTTAGTAGCATGAAATTAAAAATAGACAATATTTTCAGCAAAGTTTTAACATTTGATATATTAAAACATTTAATTGATTGATTGATTAACTATTGCAATAATATTACTATCGAAAATCATTATTGTTTTCCCAATTTTTCTAAATCTTTCAACATATGTTCAGGACCACTAATCTTATAAGAGAGAGGACCAGGTTCATCAACATTTAAAACTTTAATGACACCATCATCGACAAACATTGAGAAGCGTAGACCACGTATGCCAGCATAAGGCAAGTGCTGAGTCAAACCTAAAGCAGAATGAAACTTCGTCTCGCCGTCACTAACCATTAAAATTTTATCGTCAGTTTTAAGCGAATAGGCCCATTCACGCATAACAAATGGATCTTTTATAAAAAAAAAATAATTTAATATCAATCATAATAAAATAACAATAAAATAAATAATCATTATAAAAATGCATACCATTCACAGCAATGCAAACAATTTGCTCAACACCTTTTGCTTTTAATTCAGAATAACGACTAACATAATCAGGAATATGTTTAGAGCTACAAATTGATGTAAAGGCACCTTTTTATTAGGGAAGGAAAGAGTTAAAAAATTAACTTTTAAATAATTTTTTTTTTTAGAAATAATAAAATTATTTATTAATTAATATACCTGGAATTCCAACCAAAATCACTTTTTTTCCTTTGAATATTTCTTTGGTAGTGATTTGTTTTGGTTCTTTGTCATCTTTGTTCATGACACCAAGGCATAAATTATCAGGAATACGATCTCCAACTTTGACATTTACCATTTTTTATGATTTTTCTTTAGTAGGTGTAGGTTTTTAATTGAGTAATTTTTTAATTTTTTGTTTGAAGAATTATATAGCAAAGGCAATTTTTAAAAAAATCCATTCTTTTTATTTAATTCCCACTCGTTCAATATTAATTACATCATCATCGTTGATTCTAATAATGATTACTATTATTATATCATTTCTACACTGCTATTATATCATTACTACCATACTATACCATTATATCATTACTACTATTATTTTAGCCCATCCTTACATCATAATTAAAAAAAAGTAGGTTTTTTTTGACTAGCTCCTTTTTGCTAAAAAATTTTTTTTGGGAAAAAATTTTATTGGTTACACGTACAGAAAGAAACAAACAAAAAGAAAAAACAAAAAAAAAATTTTTAACGTGATTTTCCAAGTGTATTTAAAAGGCGATGGCAGTGGTGGCAAAGTCATGAAGTGGTGGGTAGAAAAAATGGCGTTATTAAAAATCCTGTAGTAATTATTCCGTAATAACAAACATGTTATTTATTAATTCCTAATATATATATTAAAAATCTCTCATCTATCGAAGCCTGATGAATGAACGGATATTTGGTTTATTTATACCAATTAAAGGATGAAAATATATGTGTGTTATCATTAAAGATAGAGAAAAAGGATCTGCAATCGTTTTCACTAATCATTCGGATCATCATTCTATTTATTATATTTATTATTCTAGCGAGTGTGAGTGATTCATTCTGATTATTATTTTATTATTTCCAATTATTATTTTAAGGGATATTTTATAAATATTTACTTTGTATTTAAGCAAGTAACATGTTTATTAATTTAGTTATTTAAGGGAGTGATAAAAAAGGTGATTCTTTAAATGATGGTGAATTTCAGGAGATTTTTGTTTTGAAAAAATTTTTCTTTTAATGAACAAAAAAAAGGAAATATTTTATTTATTTATTTTGTAAATAATAAATAAATAAATAAATAAATAAGAGAAGGGAACTCTGGTTGATCTTTTTAAGTCATTGTTTAAATAATAAGACTAGGAGGTAATAATAATTAGTTATTATTATCATCGTTATCAAACTAGATATTTTTTTTGTTTTCTTAAAAGCAAATAAATAACAAATAAATAAATATATCTGCTTTATTATATTATTATTTTAAGAAAATTTTCCCTCATAATCAATTAATTATCTTAGAATAGAAAAGGTTGTACTACACAATAAAAATATGTTGGGAATATTTCTGATTTGTTCTTTTATTCTTTTATTTAACATATGGTTGGCTATGATTGGAACGAAAAAAAAGTACAAATCGTTAAATAATAAGTGTATTACAAATTAAAGTGTGCGCTAACGGTTAATAATAAGAGCATTCATACGGATTCTTCATGTTTAAATAATACATTGTAATACATATTTAGATTATAAGCAGTTTGTGTTACTGTTTGTTATGTAGAATATAAATCAACAAAAACGCAAGAAATTTTTATTTCTTGAAAAAAAAAATTTTTTTTTTTTTGAATTTTATAATAAACCATTGTTTTTTTAAATTAAAATATGCCGTGTACTACATTTAGATAAAAAAGTATTTAGTCATGTATTATTAATATTACTTTTATGGTACACGTGTGAAATAAACTTTTGACCACGAAATACTCAAAATTATTGTAAATAAATAATTTTAAAATTTTTTTTTTTCATGTAATATGTTGCATATTTATACAAATTTTAAATTGATAAATGATTACGTGTAAAAAATAAATAAAAAATAAAAATGCCGCCCCAAAAGTAAAAAATCAAACTAATACCAAAATTAATATATTAAAAATTTACGGAAATCAAAAATAATTAATTAAAATTTAATTATTTATTATTACTTTTGTGACTAAATTTGAATAAATTAAAAAATTTTTTTTTTTTTTTTTTTTTTTAAAAAAAAAAATTATATAGAAAATTTTACAATAAAAAGGAATTTTACTAAAAAAAAATTTTTTTACCAAAAAAAAATCCTTTAAAAGTCATTCTTTTTTTCCTTCCACTTTCTCTAAAAAAAACAAAAACATTTTTAAAATAAATATACAAACTAAACCATATTTTCAATAATATCATTTATTATTATGGGTGTAAAGAGTTCTAAAACCTCGGCATCAACAAGGGCAGCTCCAATCGTTAACAGTAACAAAGCTGATAATAATAAACTAAAAAAATACATTAATATACGTAACTCTGTACTTTTTTCCTTTGACGGTAATAACTATTACAACAATGTTTCTGCCAACATACAAGAAACATGGAGATTTACCGGCGGGGGTAAAAGAATTCATAACATTAAAAATTTAAAAATATTACCAAATCAGCAACAACACTATCAAAACCTATATCAAGAACAACTTCATCAAAGAAAATTAATTAGAGAAGAAATTGAAAGACTGCAACGTCAAAATAACTTGTATAAAAGAATTTGGCAAAATGCTTTCTCTTCCCCCGTAGAAGAATTATTAAAAAGTGATGAAGGAATCAGAGTTCTCGAAGTTGGGTACGTCGGAAGAAGAGAAATTGTTACAAATAAATAATAATGGTTTTATTGTTATTCGCTGGAATTTAAATTAACCTTCTTTTTTTTATTTTTTTTTTTAAAAATCTAGTTGCGGACCCGGATCTTGGATTACTGAAATGTCTGAAACTTATTCTACTTCATCATTTACTGGAGTAGATTTTTCGCCAATGATATTCCCCGAAGAAAAGAAACCCGACAATGTTAAATTCATACAAGCAAATATCTTAGATGGTTTACCATTTTTAGATGACACTTTTGATTTTGTCAATATGAGGTTAATGGTTACAGCTTTCACCGCTACTGAATGGGAAGAAAAGGTTATACCCGAATTGGTGAGGGTGACAAAACAAGGTGGTTATATTGAACTGATGGAAAGTGATATTCAATATTCAAATGAAGGTCCAATAGCTCAAAGATTAACAGATGCATGTATGTATGATTTTATTATTATCAAAAACAGTTTAATTTATTATTAATAATGAATATTAAATAATAACACCGTTTATCTTTTTTATTATATAATTTTAGTATTGCCGTTTATGAAATCTAAAGGAGTAATTGCTCCAATAAATACTTATGTTCTACAATCACTCTTATCAAACACTCAATTAGCCAAAGATATTAAAACTGAAGAAAAGTCTTGTTTCCTTGGTAAATGGGCTGGTGAACTTGGTGAACTGGTAAGTAATATAAATTATATATATATATATATATAATTTATTGTACGCATCTAACAATGTTATTTACTTATTTATTATTTAGGCTGTTGACGACATCACAAAAGGCTGGAATGCTGTTAAATTGCCAATGTCTACTTTGATGAGGATTAAATCTCATGATTATGATGACATTGTAAATAATTTCGGAAAAGAAGTTGAACAATACAAAACTTATTTTAAAACTTGGAGATTTTCTATTCAAAAAGTCCCAGCTGCTCGTTCCTCTTCCATAACCACTCCTTCCCCATGGCAAAATTAATCATCATTTAATAATAATAATCAACGATCAATATTAACATTCATCCTATCATCATCATCATCATCAACACAATAATCACTATTCATTTATAAACGTTTACGGCATCAATTATTCATGTCATTAAAATCATCTCACTCATCCAACTTGATTACCATCATATCTCAATTCATCAATCATCATCTTATCGCATTTCACTCAATCCCTTATTCACACTTTACTAATTTTTTAAATCCCATTCATTTATTAATTTATTTATTTAATTTTAATTTTTTGTATTTTGTTTTATATAAATTATTTGTAAAAATCAGTTTTTGTGTGATTATAATAATAATATATATAACATTGATATATTATTATAAAAAGACTTCAATCAGTTTATTAAATTAATATTGAAAAGAAGAATTCTTTATCAATCTATATATATATTTATATGTAACATAGTCATTTTTTATTTTTATTTATTTTATAATATAATATAATATAATACAATATAATAATATAATATAATATTTAATAAAAAATTAATAATTATTCTTATTATATACGCTCCTCGCAAAGTTTCCAAGTTTATAATAAAAAATGTTCAATTCTGCGGCCCAATGAAATTTGTTTAAAATTAAATTAATAATTACAAGTGTTATTTATTATTATTGCTAATATAATTGTGGCTTTATTAGAAAAATAATAATAACTGGAATTGTTGAAGGATCAAATGGTACTTTGTCCATTTCATATGAAATATACTACTGCTCCAAACTCAACTTGTCTTTTATTACTGTTTAATCCTTTCTTGAATGTTCATTGTGTCATGTCTATTGCAATGTTCATGATGATTATGCAATGCATTTGATAATCTCATCGCCCAAGTAATAATAACACTAAGACCATGCAGAGATGAAACTTTTAAGGAGCCAAAATAAATAATTAATTAAAATAATTAACTAATTCCGTTCCAAAAATTTCATTTTTACAAGTTTGTAAAATTCCTTAAAAATCATTCCCAAAAAATAACTTGATGTTCTTGACGATGGTAAATCAGATGATGGTGATTGAGTTGACGATCGATTATTATTTTGAGTTGGTGAAGTTGCTTCTACAGGCGCAGGATAATACCCATGTTTAACGCCAATCCTGATCATATAAGTCTTCCTACTGTCAACATGCAATTGCAAACCAGTGACCCCTCATAGCCATAGATTTTTCCACAGGTGAGATATTAGAAAGCTTTGGATAAGTGAGAGGCTTAACAGTCTCTTTGACAACAACGCAATTAATAAATTCCAGGGCAGTGCTCCCCCGAAAATTTAATTGCATCATCCATCATATCAAGTAAGATTATCTTATGTACACGAGGAAGATGAGGATGATCACAATGGTTTAAATATTTGAGCCCCAAGTAACTTCAACATCTATAGATTTCCGATAATCAAATGTTGCATATTGAGTTGTTTCCAAATTGTCCAAGCACAGTTTTTTTTTCGTGAGAGAGAGAGATCTTCAACAGTCACGTTTCTTTTCTTACCTCTGACATTTCTTATGATTATTTAATATTAATAATGACAATGTAAAGCAAGTATATCAATCATTTGTTATTGTGATAAAAGAATCTTATATAATTGCCTGTCACACTATATAAAGTGGACTTTCACTCAATATAAAAAAAGGAGGGGAGGTTCTTTGAGGCGCGTATATATATCATTATTAAATTAATAGTTACGCGCACAAAAAATAAGTATTATTAAACGTTTTATTTTCATTCACATGTTCGTATATACTATTGCTACCGTTTTAATGTATGGATCGTTTCTATTCGAGGTAATTATCACGTGAAAATCAAATTTGCGCCAATTTGAAATTTAATATTAAAATTCTGATTGGCTAATCTGATTTTCACACGCGTGAATTTCAGATTCCAAATTCACGCACAACATTTTGATGATAATGAATGGTAAAATGATAATATCTATTAATTAGAAAATTTTAATGATAGATTCGTTGGCAGATTTTTTTTCTGCCGTAGAAATTCACCGCCTTAGAGGTCGCACCCAATGAATAATATATTCGGTGAATATCCAATGAATATTTGGTTAATCGGAACTTTGATTTTTCATTAATTTAAAAATGAATATTCAATGAATTAATTGTCAAATAAATTCACATTTAATTAAATTTAAAATGGAAGACTGTACCAAGAAATTTATCCGCTAAATCGAGATATAATTAAATCATGTGATATGTTACACTAAAATATAATAATAATAAAAAATCGTTTTAAAATGTTAACATTATCACTACAATAATCTTCTATCCTTGTTTGTATTTGGCGAGGATTTTTATAAGACGAAACATAATACACATGTAAACTTGATAAGTCGGACACAGCAATCAATTGTCTAAATGCTTGATAATATAAATAAATGAACGAATTATTGAGTATCAAGTAAATTAATTATAAATTATGAGATGTTATACTAGCATCCGCCATGAACATCCAATCTCTCATTTGCATTAATTAACACATGTCATCGTGCATTAATTATCATACATCATTATATCTAATAATAATAATACATTCAATTAATATCCATTATATCAAGACAAATTTATTATTATTATAAACGACATATTAATTAATATATGGATTTTAAAGAAACATCCAGTAAATCGAATGTATTAGTATATTAATTAATATTAATATGAAAAATCCGTTAAATCCGTTAAACCAAGATAATAATAAAATAATTATAATAACAAGAAAATTTGGTTTCGAAATTTATCCGTTATGCCCCTAAATCCGCTAAATCGAGACTCATTGTGTGTAATAGGAAAAAGTAATAACAAATAATGAGAAGGGAAGAGTCTTCTGCTGCTCATATTTTGAAGAAAAGGGTGGTTCTAAGAAGTCAAGTTAGATATGGAACTTGATGGAAGAAACTGAAATTGGAGAAAAATCTAAAGGAGATATTTTTCAAGTCAATGTCTCTGAAGTTTCTGATATTATTGTTCATTGTAATGTTGTAGTATGTGATGGTGAATCTACATCTAATTATATTACACACTTATATGATGTCCTCAAAAAGAACAAAGGTTTAATTAATTTACTAAAGATTGTTTTTTTGAAAAATATTGGTAATTTTGATAGAATTTAAAACAATGAATATTCACTGAATAATCAATGGATAATCATTCACTGAATAATTAATTTAATGAATGAATGATTTTAATTTAATTATTCACCACCAAATGATTATCCGAATATTAATTTAATTGATTGAATATTCAGTGAGTACAACATCTACATCGCCTAAACTGATAGATGAAAAAAAAATTTTTTTTTAATAACTTTATTCCTAGTATCTAGATGACCAAAGTAGTAACTACATGTTTTTCCTATTATACAAAGTTTTTTCGAATGTTCTTTGGTGGAATAAAAGTTAAATGATTTTTTTTATTTATTGAAAAACCGGTTACATCATGCTTACAACAATGGCAAATCTTTTTTTTTGCATCATTTTCTTTATTATAACAAGATAAGTATTGTTACTTGGAATAAATATTTTTTTCGCGTTTTGTGTTCCAAAAAAAGAAACATTAACAGAATGAAAAGAAGAATATGGTAAATGGCAAATTTATCATCATTACGTGTAAATAAAGATGTATATATATACATATATAGTCAAAAATTATATTGGACTTTAAATATAATTCGTATTTATTGCATGTCTCAAAATCCAATTAAAAAAGATTATATATATATACACGGAAGTCTTCATAATTATCCAACAAATAATTTTAAAGCTTTAAATGGAAAGATAAAATAAAAATTCTTAAACGCATAATTAATAGCTTATGTTACATTCATGATAAAAATACCATTCATAAGATTTAAAAAAGAGATAATTATTTCAATTATACATATATTGCGAATTTATCAAATGTTGCAATTGGTTTTACCGTATATTGTCCCTGAAGTGTTAAAAAGTAAATTGTATACAATGGCATCAGATATATATAGTTTTAGATCAACAACCTTACAATAATACTACGCATGTTAAAAACTTGCAGTGAAGGAGTAAAACCAGGATTTTCAACATTACTCCCAAATTCTATATTGATTTATCATACCAATGTATGGATGTTAGTTAATCCAGATAAACGTCCAACTGCTAAAGAAACTAAAGAAATTGTTGGTGTTTGAACAGTGTATTTTATATTGGATTAAATAATTCAGATAATAAATATTTTAGAAAAAAAACTCAAAAGGAAAAAATTTGATAGATGGATAAATCACCATTTGATCCTTCAACGATCTCGACTACTACTCATCAAATTGCTGTTTGCACCAGCCCATTATTAAAATTTATAAATGCAGCACAATCTATAAATTCCTGTAAAGATGCAATTATTGGTAATTACAATTATTATTTTAATGTTAATTAGATTATTAATAATATATTTATTTAGAGGCGCTAGCTAAATTAAAATTATGAAAATACATTTCACTCTCGTAACTTTATTCTATTGAGGCTTTACTCTATTAATCATCTAATGTGCTGTCATTTATACAATAACTTTATTTATTGTTTGGATTTTTTATTTTTATGATAATTCATAAATGAGAAAAATTATATTATATTAAGTAACTGTTATTAAATTGATCTATATCAAGCAGAATAATGGTGATGTTTATATGGAAGCGTGTATGCACTTTCTATGTTTAACTTTTAACGTGATATTACTAATTGAACCACAATCCAGGCTCATTTGAGTGGTTTTATATGTAATTTTTTTTCATTATTATCTATTATCTTTATTTTTACTATTTGAATGAAAAAATGCAAGGTGAAAATTGATTTACACAATTTTTTTGCATTATATTAATAAATTCTGGAATTGATTTCATTAACTTTGATCCAGGATTCAAGTCTTGATTTGCCTGTTCCAAGTAATCTTCACGAGGAAATTTTTCAACCTTGTTCTCATCACATGTTACTAATATGTGGAATATACCATAATCAGGTATGTTTAAGTTGATATGCTTCTAGAATCATCCTAATTAATAAAAAGCACAATTTTTTCATTCTTTTTTCTGTATCCATTGTGATTCCAGATGGTATTTCTTTTTTGACCTCCCCAATTGCCAATATAATTAATCCCATGTCATGTTCTTTTTGATTACAAAAACATTCATCCTTCTTCAAATTTCAATTGTTCAAATTAACAAGTGGAATGGCTGATGGGCTATATAATGAGTTTCTAACTTTATCCAAATCGGCCTCTAGCTCTTTCCATACTAATACTGTTATAAGTCTCCTAGATGTCAGAGATAAAGTAAAAAATTTCGGATGAACACATCAGATTTCTTTATCCGGTCTCCATGCGACGATCTACATCTTTGGGCTTGTGATAATCACACACGTACTCTAAAGAATGGAACAACAGAATGAACATATTCTGAATTTCTTTGAAACGGTTCTTCGTCTTTTTTATTATGGATAATATACAGCATGTTTGATCCTTAGTTGTTTCATCTAGATCTAAAAGTGAAGCATTAAATTATGCATTCAAATAGACTTTCCTGGTCTGATGTGCAATATAATAAAGCAAGCGATCTTGGTATTCTTGAATTTCATCATGGTAAGTATTCAGTTTGTTTTTAAATCTTCAAAGAGTTTGGATACTTCTTGACATTTATTGTAGGTATGGGTATAAGGAACATTGCAGACATATAATAGGCAATGATTTATACACAAGATATGTAACCATCAAATACTCTTTTTTAAAGTATCGTTGTAATGATTAGCAACGTAAGTGGAAGGCATTCTTTAATTGAAATGTTTAGTGGGTTATTATATATCACATTTCATATAATATTTTAATATATTATTTTTATATCCATATGAGCTACAAGCTCCCAAGATCCTCACGATAAACATATTGATTGCCATGAGCTTGGTGTAGAAAGTTATTCTTTCAATGCCATTGGGAAAAATATTGTTAGATTCGCGATATTGCAATTAAATTAAATTGCTATTATTAATATTAATATTATTCTAATTGTTCGTTTATTCGACTAAACTTTCAATGTAATTCGAATACTCAAATTCATAACGAATAAAACAAATCGAATAAACCTTATTCGAATAAAAACCCTAACGACGTTCTATCTTCTTTGATTCATTTATAAAATTCATTGTCGCTGCAAACTTTTTGAACACATGCAAACTATACTTTGGGTGGTGGAGTCTGTGCCTCCAGAAAAAGCTCGTTCGACCGGGACATTGGTTGATATAATGAGTTTATTAGATTAGAATTTTAATTTTAAATAAGCAGTGCGCAAAATTAGAATACCAGGGACTGCCAAATAGTTTCTAGCCTAAGGTTCGGTTTGATTTTTTAGAAACTGAAACCGAACTGTTTAGAGATTTAGGCTCACCTATCTTTATTAAGAGTCATCTAAAGAATATTCATTGGAGTTAACAAGTATTGTTTTGATTTTTTCAGTATTACAATCGAAAGGACATCATTTCCATCAACAAAATAAACACTTCTTTGGTTCCCAATTCCTCGCCTTCGATTTCTCTTGTGTCACCAATTCTAATTTAGGAATGTTGTCGTGTTTAAATTTTTTAAGATTATCTAAACTGCTTTTATCAATTGACAGTTTTGTAGGATTGAAAATTTAAAATAAAAACTAATTGCCTGCTAAAATCCAAGAACTTTAGTGGAAGATGAACAGAATTAAAGCTGTAATAAATAGTTTCAATTGATTTAAAATATGATTATTGAGTAACTTATATATAAAGAGAAAACAAAAAGACCCTCAAGAAACTCGTTCCATGAAAATTATTATGGTCTAGATTTAAATTGACTTACCATCAATAATCTTTTAAAAAAATGAATACTGAATATACCAAATTTTTACGTTACAAAATTTCCTTTTAAGGACGATTTTGATAACCGATAACCCTAAATAACACCTCCATTTTGCTTTGCTTTAATTTTGCTTTGCTTTACTAATTTTTTAATTTTTTTTAAAAATTATATTTAAAAATGGATCCAACAATATTAGAAAAATACTTTAATGAAAATGAAAGATTACTTAATACAGAAGACTTTTATGATGTAAAAATTTATGTTGGCATAGAACCAAATGTTAAAGAGGTTCATGCACACTCATCAATCATATGTGCTCATTGTCCATTGTTTCAAGATGCATTAATTAATGCAAGAAAAGAAAATGGTTATTATATTATTAAGAAAGCAAATATTAGTGAACTTGTCTTTAAAATTATACTTAGGTAGGTTTAAATTATTAAATTAAATTATTTATATAAATGTTTTTTATTTATAAAATAATTAATGATAATATTTTCTTTTTGTTTCATTTATATTTAAAAAGATTTTTATATACTTGTAAAATTGAATTAGACCATTTTCCTGTAGTTGATATATTGCAATTATTGATTACAGCTGATGAACTTGGCCTTGAATCATTTTATGAATACACAATGAAGTACTTTATCAAAAATCATAAAGATTACATTAAAAAAAACCCAGTCAAAATCTTAAAATCAATCCACTCTCATGGAGAAAAATTTAGGGAATTGAAAAATATTTGCCTAGAAAAAATTTCCAATTGTGATGAGAATTTATTTCAGTCAAGTGAATTTGAATTATTGGAAAAACCAATTTTATTGGCTATACTTGAAAGAGATGATCTTAATGTTGATGAAATAATTATTTGGGAAAGTATCCTTAAATGGGGATTAGCCAAGCATCCAGAAATTAACAATATTAATTATGTTAAAGTTTGGTCAAAGCAAAATTTTACTGATTTGGGGAACACATTAAAGGATTTAATTTTATTAATCAGATTTAAAGACATTTCTAATAAGGATTTTCGTTCCAAAATTATGCCTTTTAAGAAGCTTTTTCCTAAGGATTTATGGGAAATTCTTTTAGACTATTATGTAGCTTCTGATGAACAACAAACCTTAAATTTGCTACCATCAAGACAACCAAAACTTGAATCAGCAACAATTAATCAAAATCTTACATTGCTTTTTGCAAGTTGGATTGATCGAAAAAATTCACCATATAATTCATCAAGAGATGTCAAATATGAATTTGAGCTTTTATATCGTAG